TACTCAAATCGAAATCACTGCGAAAAGAGTTTGTTGATTCACATATATGAATTTTTGATAAAGAATCACAATTTTTTATTGATATCGCAATAGTTTTAAAAACATGTACTGTATTTACTGACTTTATATATTTTATTTGTAATGTGTGCACAAAAAATATCTCATTTATTTACGTATACATAAAATATTATTGAAAAAATAAAAGATACTAGTAGAAATACTGTGGCTGACCATAGACTGGTATAAACTACTAATTTATTCGACATGTAGAAAATTTTACGTTTATACACAAATCATCTCGCTTGTAACGTGCATTCGTGCATTCTCTTCACATTGGTATATACCGTTATCTCTCTTTCGCGGATTTGTTGACGAAAGAGATTTCGTGTTCTCGTTATGCCGATTAGATCGACAGCAGTGCTTTTGCTTTCTGTTTCGGTACACCTAGATACTTTGATTTCGCATTTACTCGGTGTCCATTCGATCACATTATTCACGCAACTCGCTCTTACGATATCGGATAGGTCGCAGCTCCATCATAACCAAATAGACGACGCCTGGCCGCCTCCGCCGTTTCATTGTCGTGATTCGTAAACTCCTAAACACGATCCATTACATTTATCAACGCGAAATTGTGATCCCGCGTGAATCTTATAGCTGTATTAAAACCTCTCTGAGGAATATCAGGGATTTTAGTTGGTTACAGATCTCTTCTCCTTTCATCTTTAAATACCAGTAAATTTTTTTAATGTTATAATTTAATTAGTATTGTGAAGTACATGAATTTTGATTGTGGACTATATGAATTAATAATAAAATTGTGTGACACATAATATTTAATGGGTTTATATAGTATTTCGCGAAATTGTGCGATATTGCATAAATATCATTAACGCCATGGAACAATATGAGAGAAACATATATTATATCAAATATTATATTATTTTACTTATTTGCCTCCAAATTATTTTCTCTGATGCGTACATACCGTACGAACAAGTAGTTTATATCTACGATTAAATCAGTCACAACATAGTTATTTCTACTAGCACTTTTTATTTTCAATAATTTTTTATGTATACATTTATAAATAAAACATTTTTTATTCATACACCCACATATACCCACGTTATAAATAAAATAAAAAAATTCTTAAAAAGATTTTAATATATTAATAAAATATTAAAATCTTTTTAATTTATAATAAATCCCAAAGAATAAAATACAATTGCAATCTCTAATTAGTTCCAATAATTAATTTTTTATATATTATGTAAAAATGATAATAATGAAAATTTTAACTAGTATTTTAATTAATTTTATGTTATTAAATTCTATCAAAATAGAAACTATCATAAATAAAGTAGGTGCATTAAAACGATCCGTATATCATTTAATCACTTGCTACATCCAACTATTAACAAGCTCGAAATACATTCTAACATCCCTATACCTCTATAATCCGTGAATTTTGAACCCCGCTTAAATATGCCAGCTATTTCTCGTAACCGATGGCATGATTGCCGCGCATAATCATTCTGGCGCCGCGCACAATGAGCGGACAAAACGCCGAAGAATCCCTCGCGCTCGAGTTATTTTTATTACGATCGATTCATTGCTCCTTTCCCTCCTCCCTCTCTCCCGTCCTCCTCTCCTTTACCATGGTTGCCCATCCATTTCTCTTACCCCTTTCTCTCTCTCACGCGGCGGCAATACGGTCGGCATTCATCGTCGTATGCAGCCGGCGGGCGCCGACGGTATGCACCGCCATTTGCACCGCGCGCGAGCCGATCTTAAGGTAACCAGACTTACGTGCATTCCTGCTCGCACCTCCTGCAGCCTCTCCTCTCTTCCTGCCCTCCCCCTTCTCTCTCTCTCTCTCTCTCTCTTTCTCCCCCGAGCCATTTCAACGGCTGGAATTCCGCGCAATTTCCTCCGTTATAAACGTGCACGCGCGGCGAGGATGCTCGCGGCGCCAACAACGAAATATTGACATTGCCGGCGCGGCGCGGATGCGGACGCATCGGCGGAAAATGCACTCGTTTGAACGTCGTAGACATGAGGGATAGGGCGCCGCCGGTGGGCGAAGGGACGAGGGAAAAACCCGGCGGTGAGCGCGAAGGGAGAGACTGCGCGAGGTATTTTTCGCGCGATGCATTTTTCCACGGAGTCACGCGTGCACGCGGCCGACATGCTTACGGACGCGGAAAACGCCCCGGCGCGCCGCCGTGATATACATACACGTCTTTCCCCCGAGTGCGACTGCGGAAAAAAATGCGAGTAATCGCGACCGCGGTGAATTTCCGGCTCCACAGGGGAAAAAAGAATGATTGTACGCGGCTCTCATTTTACCGCATTTCCGTCCGCTAGGGTTCCTAAATTTACGTCGCACGTTGCGAAAGATGTCTGCCCTAAACGTCTCCCCCAACAAATATAAAGGTCGCAGATGCGAAACCTGCGTCGAATCACCGAAGCATATTTTTTGACGGAGAAAACAGTCATCTTTCCTCTCTCTTTTCACGAGAAATTTCAACGTAAAAATATTTCCGGTATTATTTAACGTAGAAATCTAAGGCGTTCTGACGAAAAAAGTTTCAGAGGTGCAACAACAATAATTAATGCAACTTTGCATATTAGTGAAAACTATGTAATGTTTTCGTATAGATTGCTGATACAATGTACAAGCTGATCACAATGGGTGCATTCGTTTACGCAAGGC